ATCAGTATCTGGTTCTTTGTTAGATTTAGGCGAATGTCTTCGTACAGGAGAGGGATCTGTTATAAGAGAATGTGAAATATGAGGATGATTACGAAAGAGAACATGAAATATTGTGTCGGGTATTGTTATTAGAGATACCCAAAGCAAGGAGGTTAGTGCCCATGCTGACTCCCCTGGATAGCTCGAGACGTATTAAAAGGTCTCGAGCGACCCCAAGGCCGCGGGCTCTGTCTTTCCCAAGGGTGCGGGCTCCGTCTCGCCCGACCCTAAGGCCGCGGGCTTCGTCTTGCCCGACCCCTTGGGGGCGGGCTCCGTCTCGTCTGGCCCTAAGGCCGCGGGCTCCGTCTCGCTTGACCCTTTGGGTTCATGCTCCGTCTCGCCTGACCCTAAGGACACGGGTTCCGTCTCGTCCGACGGGGACTCATACAGCCGCCAACCACTCCAAGTCCAAACGTATGGGCCTAGGTCAAAACTCTGACACCAGAAAAGAGGTTGGCACGTCTCGATATAACCCGTGGCCATGATGGGCCATACCTGGCGATTCACATCAAGAACAGTGCCGGGCGTGCCAGTACTGTTCTGCCTAATCCACGTACAGACACTGACAAGCGCGTTAGTTCACCACGACGTCCGTCGGAACGGAGTGGAACGCCATGACTGGTAGATGACGCCTGCGGATGGCGCCAGTGACGAACAGGGCCGCGACATAGAGCCGTCCCTGTTGACATCTACAGGATCGGTGGGACCCGCATGAAGAAGAAGAAGGACCCGGCAATCCTAGAAGCCTTCTTCTCTCTCTTCTCTCTCGTTCTTCTCCTTTTCCTCCGCTGTAACCCGCGTTTTTCCTTCGCCTATAAAAGAGGAAGCAGAGCGCCCCATGAAAGGGGCTGGACCACAAGATAAAAACACAATAGCACGACACGAGCACATGGCTGAGCGACAATCGAGCTCTCAGCACCCGTTCACTCCTTCCAACAGAGACTTGGGATCCTTTTCCCCTCTCGCATGTTTGTAACCCCTACTTCAAACCAAGTGCCGGTAACACGAGCATCAGCGAACTGGACGTAGGGACGTTTCGCCTGAACTAGTATAAACCCTTTGTCCTCCTAGTACACCATCCGAGCCAGACGCGCAAATACAAATTTATTCGTCGGTGATCCGAAAACACCGACACATTGGTTAAAGTAGTAATTTTTTTCTTATATAGACAAATAAGATACCACTATTATGTATTTTTTTTGCTTTTGTAACTCAGCTAATAGCCAAGCTTCGTGGCTAACTCTATCGTTGGACTTGATCTGAGTTACGGCTTGCCATGTGTAGATCCTAGATCTACCTACACCTGGAGGCCGGAGGCGTGGAGTTTGGAACTCGCAGCTATGTCGTCGAAGAAGCGCCCACGCGTTTGCACATACAACGGGACCACAATTGGACCATAAAAATTTTATGATCAAATGAATATGAAATTTTTACTACAGTTCAAACATACAATAATTAGCCTACCATAAAAATTTCACCACAATTGAACCATAACCATAGAAGCTGCAGTTATGAATTATTCCAATTAATTACAGAAAAACATAGATCTAAAGCTACAGCAAAAACTTTGTACTAAATCATACCATATTATATGTTCATTGTGTAGATCTACTCATGTGGAGTCCAACAAAATTGGATTTTCTATTTTATGATTTTTTTGTGATTTACTATTAATTTTCAAAGATTCAACGAAAATAAATAAAAAGGAAAAGGATAAAACCACCGTCACCGTAGCAAAACCATAGTCCAAAACTGCTCGGGGTTATTTGACCCGTTTTAGAAAGTTTAGGGGTAGAAAATCCGGTTTTATAATTTGTGAGTAAAGTAGTTCACCCTAAATAGTTTGGAAGTTATATACACTTTTTTTTGTTTGCGCCGTACATTTGTTACAGGCCAAAAAGCTCCAACCTAAGCACCTAAGTTCTTCAACACCGCGATTAAAAAAAAAAGAGTTCTTCAACACCGCCGTGGAATTCGCCTCTCCTCTGCCTGTCCATGCGCCGCTACAGCACCGCGCGATCACTGTTCACAGCACAGAAAACGCGTCTACAGTCGCCGCCGTGTCCACGCCGCGGCCATTTACTCCGGCCTCCTGTTTGCGCGCCACTGCGCCCTCTGCTGCTCCCGCCCCCACGCATTTTCGGTCACTCTGCGTCCACTGTTCGGTTTGCTCCTCACGCATTTCCATCCACGAGCAGCGAAGCGCGCGTGCCTTCGTAGTATATATACTCCCTCCGTACTCGTACTAGAAGACGTCTAGATATGATTGTGCATACCAAGGAGTCATTAATTATGGATAAGCTTTCCTTGTCTATCCCTATTAAATGCAATTGCGGTATGTTTTATATGAGAAACAAACCAACGGCGGACTGGCTAGGCCAGCGTGGTGGGCGCGGGGACCATCCCCTACCGCGTCGTATTTTTTTGCTTGTTTTTGTTTTGCATGTGTTTGCATGGTACTGTGCGGGACGTGCACGCTGGTGCCTGGGCGCGTCTTTTTCTGTTTTTCTGTCGATGGCGTGCTTCGTTTTTTTGCGTTTCGTTGAACGCGCGCTGGACGCCTAGCTGCGCGCTCGCTGGACGTTTTGCCGCGCCAAGTTTTCCTTGTTTTCGCTGGACGCTCGGCTGCGACGACGATTGGGTTCCCGTTCGTATTTATACGCCCGGCTGGCTGCAAATTAACAAGCACAAACAAAACACCCGCACAAATGGCTAGCTCACTTGCTACCTTCGATCGTGCCTGTACCGGAAGCTGAAGAAGGCAACGCTGGGTTAGACCTCAACGAGCCTGTACTGGAGGATGCTAATGACATCGGTAAGTTTGCTTCCTTGCTTCCTTGCTTTTCAATTGAGCCTGTACTGGAGGATGATAATGTTTTTTTTGAAATAGAGCATGTTGCCGTGGCTAATGTTCAAGTGCACCACCGAAGGAAAGAGATGTCAGAAGATTTGAGAAAGCAAGTTTATCAAGCGTTGTTGGCTAGAAGCAATAACGGGATACTCCACAAGAAAGATACCCAGATTATTGCTGATCGATTTGATCTGCACCTTCGGTCAGTCCAGCAGGGAGGAGTCGTCCTTGGGCGCCACCTCCGACTCCGGCGGGACGGAGTCCTGTAGCTCGATGAGAAGATCCGGAGCCACGGACTCCGGCGCGATGACCATCGAGTCCGGCGACAAGGAGGCCACGGCGAGCGGCGATTCCGAGTCCAGGGCGAGTGGCAAGTCGGAGTCCATGGCGAGGACGAAGAGAGGCGCGGCGTCTCGGCCGAAGAGAGGCAACAGGCGAGGAAGGAAGGCGAGGCGTGCGGCGTTAATTACGTCGGGGAACGAAGCGTGCGGCGCGGCGCAATTACTCCGTGTGCGGCGCGGCGCAAGTACGCAGGGGCAAAGAAGTCCAAGACCCACACCTCGCCACACGGACGACTTCTAATCTGCTCTGGCCGACGGAGCGTAGGACGACTTCTAATATTAACCCGGAGGGAGGATTCAAGAAAAGACCACCGAGATAACACAACAGAACAAGTTTGAGGACCTAAACAAGTGATTTGCATGTTTACGGACTGAGAACAAACGAACAAGTTTTAGGACCAAAACGAACGATTTATGAGTTTAGGGACCGCGATGACACAAATGAATAAGTTTGTGGATCTAAACGGTTGATTTACTAATTTTAAAACCGGGATGATGGACCGAACAAGTTGGAAGACAGCCAGTGAACTATACTCTTTTTAAATTTTGGGTATCACCAAAGCACGCATGTATGCAGACTTCTCTCCCTTTATATATATATATATAGGGTGAGTTTTCTATACTCCCGGGAGTAGTTACTCCCACCGAGAGTATATGCATCAAGCAGGAGTCAGGGCTGGTTAACGGGCGGAGAAACGCGCTTCTCACGCTATTTAATTATATGTTTTATTTTGACGTTGGTTAGGAGAGTCCACGTGTATCTGCTTTGTTGCGAGTATGCATGTGGAGAAGAGTATATACACCTAATTTTTTCATATATAAGAGTACATATTCATACTTTTTGAAGAGGAGTATATACCCATACTTTTTTTTCTTGAAAGGAGTATTTATTCATACTTTTTTAAAAGGAGTATGTATGCATACTTTATTTTTCTAGTATGAATACATACGCCTAGATTTAGGTAGTATGCATACATACTTAAACCACGCTACCCGAGTATATGTGAGTATACATTCACGTAAGGAGATATACAAAACAAGAGAGTATGTATTCATAATATATGTGCATACTTCGGTATGCACCATAGCTGGTTCTATTATCTTTGGATTTTTATTACACTAATGCTTTGATTTCTGCATGTGAGTATTACATTGGTGTAATTTTGTCAACAAAAGTAGTATATACAAATACTCCATTCTCACCGAAGTATGCACATATATTTTGTTCCCAAAAATAGTATGAATACATACTCTCTTGTTTTGTATATCTCCTTATGTGAATGTATACTCACATATACTCGGGTAGCGTGGTTTAAGTATGTATGCATACTACCTAAATCTGGGCATATGTATTCATACTAGAAAAATAAAGTATGCATACATACTCCTTTTAAAAAAGTATGAATAAATACTCCTTTCAAGAAAAAAAAACTATGGGTATATACTCCTCTTCAAAAAGTATGAATATGTACTCTTATAAATGAAAAAATTAGGTGTATATACTCTTCTCCACATGCATACTCGCAACAAAGTAGATACACGTGGACTCTCCTAACCAACGTCAAAATAAAACATATAATTAAATAGCATGAGAAGCGCGTTTCTCCGCCCGTTAACCAGCCCCGACTCCCGCTTGATGCATATACTCTCGGTGAGAGTAACTACTCCCGGGAGTATAGAAAACTTATATATATATATATATATATGAATGGTTTCCACTGGAAAACCTTCGTACATACCCAAACTGAAAACACCCTATCCTGAAGATTTTACAACATATCCCTGTTAGTCAAAGACTCACAGGCACAGCACCGATGGCGCAAGGATACATCGATAAGCTCCCTTGCTACATCAGTGATGATACCACCCAATATGTTCTTCTCCAAATCCTTGACGACTTCATTCTTCTCGATCGGCAGGTCCCACACGCGGTTCCAACCGAAGTCCCAGATCGAGTTAGCATCCAAATGCATGTTCTCCATGTCACTGCGGAGTACCATCTTCAGGTTTTCAGCTGTGCTGTGGCCACTCTGTTGCTGAATTTTCTTGGGGATGGGCAGAGACTGAATATCGCTATCCAGTTCTCTGATAAGATCATCCAGCGTCTGCAGTTTCAGGTTAGCAGTGCGTGTAAGGCTAACATCAACGATCGCCTCCGTTCGTTTACCTTTCCTTCTGATCACTTCGCGTCCGATGTCTGAAAGAACCTTGTTGCCTTTGTCTAACCACTTCCCTGTGTTAACCTGAACCACGCTGACTGGGACATGGAATCCGGTAATAGCCTTTGCGGTTTCAAGTAAGTAGGGATCCTTCAGCAACATTTCAGCAAGCAAGAGTTGATTCTCTGTGAAAGAATCACATGAAACAACATCCATCTTGTGATTTTTCAAATCATTCGGATTACTGGGCTTCACGATATGATCCAAATCTGCAACAGAAGCATAAGGTTATCCATTCAATAACAACAGCAATGATTGCACTAGTTCATTTGGCAAGTAATGCTATGAGTAAACTACAGCTCCCAGAAAAAAAAAACATATTCCTAAAATTTTTCTATAAGTAAACAACTGGTTGAGTGTGCAGAGGCCAACAATGAATCCCAGAGTATGTGTACCATTTATTGATTGACCATTCACTTCTTTCATTTGTTGCAGTTGCTGCTGCTGGTGTTCTCCCTCAGGAAATGTTTCCAGTGTCTGTATAGTCTCACTGACTGTGTGATTAACTCTGTCATCCTGCATGTTTGGACCAGCCAAAAAAAAAACGCCATCAGACCGATGTTATGTAATACTTTCATGATAACTGATGCAAAATGCTCTGTTATTTAAACTTACATTTGTCTCAGCAATTGTTTCAGAAGTAGTCTGTGCTACAGCAGTGGTTGGATCATTGATTTCTTCAGTTAGTTCCTTTTCAGATAGGTATGACAAAGCCTCTCTAGTTGTGCTACTATCTTCCATCTCTGCTGCAGATTGCTCGCATAAACCATCATCACCGGGCGTGTTGTCTGATGGTTTGCAACTTCTGGTATTATCTACTTTTGTGCCCTCTCCATTCTGCAGTTCTGTCACTGTAATGAGTTCAAGCTTCTCTTTCGTATGCGTTGGTTCTGATTTCAGTGACCTCTTCTGTTGTAGACTCTGAATGGCTGTTTCACTCTTCATTTGACGATAACTCTTCACCTTCTTTTCCACGATCTGTTTATCTGACGGCTTACTTTGTGCTTGCCTTCTCATTTGATCTGTGTTTGCAGCCTTGCCATTCTTTCCTAGAGCCTTGTTTCCAGGATTGGCAAGGTTCTCTTTGTTAAACTTCTCTCTAGCCTTCCTTGGCTTCACCTCACTTTCTCTCTGTTTAATGCTTGTGGTTTGCTTCTTTCCGAGCTTCTGTTTATTTTCTTCAACAATGGCTTTCTCTTCTGTGGCTGGTTTGTTCTTTCCATTCTTCCTAAATCTCTGAAGGAAATTCATATTTCTTCCTGCACTGACTGTTGTCTTTTGCTGGTTGGTGTCTTCAGTGAGCTTCGTATCCTGATGAACGATTTTCTCATCAACTACTCGGTTTACACTAACTCTTCTCTCTGTACCTTCCTGTTTGCTTAACATCTGCCTCATGGTCTGCCTTGTTTGCTTGTCAACTGTGAGATGTGAAAATCTACTTGACAGCACAGGTTCTTCAGACTTCGTCAGGCTAATATTCCACTCTCTTGTCTGAAAATTCTTGATCTGCCCTCTGGATGGCATCCTTTCTGAAGCTATAATTCGTATCGGTAATGTGCCAGCCATCACATTTGCCGCTGTCGATTTTCTTGGCACCGCCTCAGGTTTCACAAACCTCTCTGTCCCCTTGCGCTCTGCAACCGTCTTCGCTGATGGAAGATTTTCCAGCCCCATCAACTTGGCAATCAGACTGGGCATCCTCACCTTTGAACCATCCTTCTCGCCATTTGTAGCATTGCTCTTGCGATTGTTTGCAGCACCGGCGAACTGCAAGGGTGAGATGTGGTTCGGTCTGTAACTCTGAGACATGCCGTGAGGAACGATCTGCAAGAACGCATCTGATGGGCTCTTTGCATCGTCGGCCTGCTCGGTCTCTTCTGAATCATCGTCGACGATCTCTACCAGCCTTGCAGAGGCAGAGCTCGTCGAACGCGGCACAGCAGAGCTCTTCCAGCTGTCCTTGCCCTCCAGCAGCAGCACCTTGCCGCCGTTCCCTGAGTTCCCCATTTCCATGTAGTCCGAAGCGTCCTGGAGCATCATGAGCATGCTGAGCGACTCCTCGAGGTCCATGGAACCTCTGAGCAGCTGCTTCCCGATCTCAACCGAGCCCCTCCTCACGCCGGCAGGACCGCCGGAGGAGTACGCCACGAGAATGTCGTTCAGCTTCTGGACGCCGATCGCCACCTTGCCGACGTTCGCGCCGGGAGCCAGGAGGTGGTGGCGCGCCTGCGACGCCGTCCCCGTCCTGCCCGGCTCGCCGAAGAACACGGAGCCGCCGGCGCCCTGGCGCGCCACGAGATGCACGTTCTGGAGCTTGCCGCTGTTGCTGAGCGCGAGGGCCAGCGCCATCTGCACGTCCACGCCGCCGGCGTTGGCCGCGGGCGCCGTCTGCTTGCTTCCTCCTCCTCCTCCTCCCCCTTGGAACGGCACTATGGCGTTCGAATGGGCGACGGCCGGCGCGTCATGGCGGCGCGGCGTCCCTTGTCTGGCAATGGAGCTGCTGTTGCCTTGCCGGCGCTGCAAGTGCAGAGGAAACGTAAAGATTGTAAACGAGCAGGCACAGTAACTCAGTAACAGTAAGTGTGTGTAAGATCGTTTGGGTCTTTGCAGCTTACTGATATGCTCGTTGCTGCTTGTGATCTTGTTGCTACCCGAGGAGCTGCAGCTGCTTGTTGTGGCTTCTGAACTTGAGGTGGTTTCGGAGCATTCGAATAAGAATCTGCAGATAATCACAGATATATTGAATAAATCTATCTGCTAGTACTAGTACTACTACGTATTGTCATCTGAACTTTAGTGCCCTCCTTTGGTTCTTCTCAAGAACAGATGCAAATTTACGGTGAATTTATCTCGACGGCAACAAACATCCGAAAATGAAATGAGGAACAGTGCGCAGTGGCGCTCACTTTTTTTGCGGGAAATGGAAAAAGGAACGAGAACAGAGCGAAGAGGAGAATGCAATGCCAGTTGAAAGCGAGCACCGGCGGCGGTGGGCGAGGAAGGAAGCTTACCCCTCGCCCGAGGCGCGGCGACGCTCGGCGCGGCGCCCTTCGCCGGCGTGGCGGAGGACTCGAAGCCGAGCCGCTCGCGGCGGCGGCGGAGGTCCCTGAGCAACTTCTGGGCGAAGTCGGAGCCGAGATCGGGCACCTTGGCCATCTCTCGGCGCCCGCGGGGGAGGAGGAGGGGTCGAGGCTCCGCTGCCGCCCGCTGCTCCACTGCACCATGAACCTCTCCTGTCAACTAGTCAGTTAGGTGCGTGAGGTGAAAGAGCGCGGCGTCTCCTCTCCTCGGGTTGGTGCGCGTGAGCGTTCCGGGGCTTTCGTTGTCTTCAACCTCCTCCTTGCTTGCTGTGCCTCACCGCACGGAGCCGTGCGGCGAGGGAGGGAGAGAGGGTGATGTGTCTCGTCCGGGGAGGAGGAGGGAGCAGCTATGTCAACCTCGCTTGCGCTAGTAGCAGTAGATGCTTTCGGTTGGGGTTGGGGGTGATGAGTGGGAGGATTGCCTTGGAAGTCACACGTCCATGGTGACAGGGGTCTGCCCTGCCTCTGGTTGCACCGCGTTGCGTCCGCAGTTCACCCCATTCGCAAGCAAAGCCAGGAATGGAGACATGGCATTTGCGTTTGGATTCTCTCTAGGGCCTTCTTTAGATTATCTCAAAGTTCTAAGTTTTTTTACTCTCTCTTCATCACATTAATTTTTGGACGCATGTATGGAGTATTAAATGTAGATAAAAAAGTAACTAATTGCACAGTTTGGTTGTAAATCACGAGACGAATCTTTTGAGCCTAGTTAGTCCATGATCGGACAAAATTTGTCAAATACAAACGAAACATGCTAGAGTGTCCAGATTACAAAAATTTGCAATCTAAACAAGGCCCAGGCTTGTAGCTTTTGGTTAGGTAGGTGGTAGTGGAAGTGTCGTGGGGAGTGATCGCATTTGACCATGATGTGGATTTGTGCAAAACGTGAAGGATTTTGCTGTGACTTTACCTTTATTTTGTTTATTTATTTATAATATTATAAAATGATCTTTCTATGACTTTATGGTGGATGTGTTGAGATTTTGCCTTTTTTTAAAAAATCTATAAAGAAAAAGGGATATTTTACAAAGGTAATCAAGGGGTGGTGAGTGAAGATTTTGTGATTGACAAGCATTCCTCGGTACAGGAAAAGCTTGGAAAGATGCTTACGTTTTGTGGTACAAAGATTTATGTATTGATGTTTGGTCATGCTAACACAGGATGGCTAGGAGCTGTTGTAACAGCTTCAGTACCAAGGGTCCTACAAGGATCACTTGCAGTGTCAATCCACAAAATTCTCTCTGCACAGTTCTGGATGCCCATTGGTTTAGATTGTAGTTGCAAAGCAACAGAAGAACATGTCAAATGCACTCCAGGCCAACAAACAGCCAATGCCATTTTAAATGAAGTAGAGAAAAGGGAGGAAGGCGGGGTGGGGAGGGTGGATGGAAACAGCACGAGATATATCAAGACAGACTAAACCTAAAAGGCGATCACAGATCACACTACAGGTGCAACCACAAGGGCTGCATGGCGCAAAATCTGGAAAAAGCTCCAAAAAAGACCATGACTCAAATAACTGGTCACCTAATTTTTTGAAAGTAAATAACCGGTCACCTAATTGAGTTCCATGTGAAGGGCAGGCCTGGTGTAGTGGTAAGAGCTGTCTCACTAAGTCACCAGGTCGCGGGTTCGAAGCAACCTCTTCGTAGATTTTACGGGAGAAGGCTTGCCTTGGTTTTTCCCTCCCCTATTACCCACTCATGTGGGAGCCTCTGGCACTGGGTCTGCCCCCCCCCCCCATGTACAAGATGACACATGACTTTCAACAAATTTGTAGGTGCAACATCACCCTCCTCACACCACACAAACACAACAATTGGCGGTCACTTAAGTTCCTTCACCAACACATTTAATTTCAGACCACATCATCCAATCTTATTTTAACCAGACTCATATTTACATCGCAAGGGTCAAAAATTGATTGGCACTGCAAACAAGAAAGCACCAGATACTCAAGAGTGACTGCAGAAAGGGAAGAACAGAAAACCACACTCATCTGTGACTAGAGCATGGACAGGAAAGGTGGACACATGGGGACCATTTGCTGATCAGGGCAGTCGCCGCCTGAAGTTCCTACTGGTGCTTTGGTATGTACGAACCAGCAGGCCCACACCCAATCCGATACCCACACACACGCCAAGGCCGATTCCAACACCAACACGGACACCGGCATTAAACCATGAAAGCTCACCGTCCTCACCCTCTAGAAAGTCCTGCCTTGAGTACAAGCTGTTATAGTCAACATCAACATCCGTCTCAGATTTGGAATCCTGGAATTCTGATACCTGAAACAAGTAACAGGAAAGATAAGGATAGTATCGTATGTCAGTGACTGCTATTAGGTTCATTACTAAGTCAACCTCATAAAAGAGTAACCATGCATCAAGTCAGCTATAACATTCATATTTTCAGCTTTTTCTAATTCTAGAAGCAAATGCAATTTACGATTGATCAACCATGAACCATGATACCAATATGAGGAAAACTTTCTTTCAGATTCTATAAATGAGAATAAGTTTGCAGTGGTTTTCATATGGAAGCTATGTATAAAGTGAGCATTAACATGAGAAACGATACAAATATGGTGATATGTCCTGTAATAGCAATCCAACAACACATATATACATAGGAAAGAAAACTAATTGATCGTATTTGCAGAAATAATCCTTTTTGTCACATGTTGGATGAGCATGGTCAAAGTGACTAAACCAACAAGTAGTTAACAACAAACAAGTTACATATCATTGTTCTTTCTTATAGTGAATGATTCGCAGTTGTTTCATAAGTCATAACTGCGGGTGGGGGAGTCCCTTAAAGCCAAAATAGTTCAGAGCTCCCAAGTGAGTGTCAAGCATAAGACAGAATTTGTATGCTTCAGGCAAAAAAAGGTCCACATGTGAGATTGTAGTTGGATAAAATGGTCACTGTACAGATGGTAAGTACCTTCAAAGTGTCCTCAGCTGACTCTTCCTTCTGTTGTTCAGTTGCTTCGTTCTCAGGGATGGAATCAAGCTTTAGTTTCATTTCAGACTTCCTTCGTGATATAAGCTGAATTGTCTTTGTTAATATGATAGGTGTGCCAGAGAAAGTTCCAGCAACATAAACCTCAATCATAGGTTGTACATATTCCGAGCCATTGGACAGCTTTCCCTTCAAGAAGCCATTGCATGATGTGGATGACTGACACTTCATATTCCATTTCTTGCTGCTGTTCTTCGATTCCCCAACTACTCCATTGGCATTGCATAAATCTAGATCTCCGGTAAGCAAAAGATCATTCTTATCAAACACTTGGAACCTCACACTCCCTGTCATCCGTATATTATCTGTGCTCACAAAAGTAGCTTCCTCTGTCCTTTTGTCAACCCTGTCCCTCCTCAGTGAGGAGGATATGAACTCGGTATGCATGCTGCTCCGCTGGCCATTCACCTCGATAACTGTATCAGGTGACAGAGGGATGTGGTTCAGCGTGAGATGCTCTGGTGCAGACTCATCCACCACACAGTTGCTTACCCTAACATAGAACACCTTCAAGTCAAGCCACGGTGAAGACCTTGGCGCATAAAGTGGGTGCATGATAATCTTCCTTGCAGCCTCAAAAGCCACCCCGTCGCCCATCTTGCAGTAATATCAAATCGACACAATTCCTTATCGCATTGGCATATGTAGATTACAGTACAAGGAACTCTTTCTGCAGCCTCAAAAATAGTTCGATTCCACTAACTGCAAAAGCAACGCTGAAAACGTTTAGCACCAGAGTATCAACAAAGTTTACTTTGTTAGATTAAAGCGACACAAACATAAAACATGCTAACTTGGCCACAAATTTACTCACAAGCTATCCAAGATGCTAATTTTTGCTAGACTTGCATTAAAAGCAGGACCAATCGGCCACAGATGCACCCCACACGTAACATACAGAACTCTAATTCCAGAACTAGAAGTAAACAGAACAGAAAAATAGCCAGATGATCAGAAGATTAATTGCTACCTCGCACACAGGACTTCGAACAAAAAGAAAAAAGATTAATTCTCCGAATCGAATCCCAAAAGGTGCAGAGATGACGCGGGGGTGAACCTCCAACGAAATTCAGAACACAAACAGGATTTAGCGGTCGCCGAATTTACAAATGGAACGGATTGGAGCACCATTCCAGAAATTAGAGAACGATTTGGACTCGATTGCTCCAATCAGAGAAAACGAAGACAAGGACCGAGCTCATCTTACAACGATCGATCCAATCACGAGGGGGTCCCTTACCACAGCGGATGGATCAATCAATCCGAAGTCCTAATGGATCGGCGCACCGCGCACCGAGGTCCAGCAGCGGAGCGCAGAGCCGACAAGCTCGGGCGCACCCGGGTGCAGAAGCAGAGCGCAGAGCCGACAAGCGGAAGGACGCTCGGGGGATTCGTGCGGCGGCGCGGTCAGGAGCATGGGTTGTGGCCGGGATGCGCGAAGGCGGAGCAGAGGGAGGCGCAAGCGGACGGGGGAGGAACGAGTCCGGGGGACGCCGGGAGTTCGGGACGGATGAGGAAATCTAAAATAATTTTATTTGTAAAGATTTTTTTTTTGCGAAGACGAAGGGGATAGATTTAATTAAAATTAATATTTTTCTGACACTATATAAATCGCCGGTCAGAACAGAATGGCTTTCGCCATCCGTGCCCACAGATCCAATGGACCGATTTTTTTGCCGAAATTCATTGCCAACACACGTGGACCGGGGTGCGGCACGTCGGCACCTGCCACTGCCAGTTCATGCCTCGATCCTCCAAAATATCTGTCTCGCCATCAGTCCGATAAGATTAATTGAGGCATTTTTTGCCTTTTTTCTTCTTAAAAAAACTCCTATCCACAACGTTGCTTGTTTGGATTCAATTTGCCAGGTCACCCACCACGGATAGAGTGGTGAGGAAATGCCGAAATGCGTCATGCGTGGTCTTGATGAATGTTCGAGACTTTCCAAAAATATTATGTAATCAAAATATGATCCCTTTGACATAAAAAAAAATATGATCCCTTTGCAGACACGAGGACCTTTATTTAAAATTAAAATGCCTTGTGACATCATTTTCTTTTCTTTTATCAGATTTCCAAAATCTTAGAGAAAGAGATGTCATTATGTACTGGTATCTGTTATCAAATTCCCAAATATAAATGCTATACAACACACGTGTATTTTACCATAAAAAAATACATGGATTTTTTTTTATCTATGACATCTAGGGCCCACATGTCATAACGAACACATAAACACCCTCCCCTCACCCGACTCCTCTCTCACCCCTCTCTCTCTCTCTCTCTCTCTCTCTCACCGGCGACCACCGACGCCGACGCCGGCGCCGGCGACCGGCGAGCTCGCCCCGGCGCCCGCGCCCTCACCGGCCATGGCAATGGCAGCGGCGGCAGTGGCGGCGGCGGATCCAGCTCCAGCTCCAGGTAGGCCTCTCCTCCTCCTCCTCTGCGATATGTCCTTCCATAGAAAAAAAATTGTTTATTGTGATTTGTGATCTTTGATTATCTGAAGGTAGAAGAAGGCTGGAGGTAGAAGAAGAGTGGAGGCTGTTGGATCTTAATCCTATGGTGCAAAAAAAATCATATGTTGAAACTACATAAAACACATGTATGTACACCAAAAGGTATATATGATATATGATGGGTACTCCGACCTTCAATTATTTGCTGCATTTAACACGAGTGTTTGATGCGAATTTTCCATCTGAAAAGGAAGAGATGACCAGCAAGTCAATACATTGTTCCACGTAGCAAGTTCCAGATGGGTGGGTTTTTGGTAATGCTTTGACTCAGGAGCAAGGGTATATAGGAAAATAGGCATGAATAGCCAATCACAAACATCGTAACACAAATCTCTTACCGACTATGGACTTTGGAGGCTGCAGAGAGCACCACACGGTTGGTCTTCTTGTGAGTTTACAGTCAGAAGATGGTGGCGAAAGATAGAGCAGCTGACCAAAAGCAAATACGGTATAACAGGTTCACTTCCGAACGTAACAAGGTCAGAATTGACTTCCAGTATAGATGATCAACAAAGATCTATTTTACAATAAATAGCACTTGCTTTTGGATGCTACTGTCACATAAGCAGGCAACTCTGGTGTCAAGGGCCTCAAACCGCTGACTGGCCGGACCTCGGCTACGTAGCTCGTAGCCGCTGCCCGTCACGCCGGCGAGGTTATGCCCCTCGGCCGTCGGCTTAAGAGAGGAAGAGAGATTAGGGATAACTTCTTCGTTAATCTCAATTGTCTCAGCGTACATGCATATATGGCCCGTGGCCTAACAGATGGAGAAGGCTCTCCTTGATTGTAGGACTAATCCAACAAGGAAGCAACTAATCAGCTAGCTAACTTTCCTCCTAGCCACTCGCCTGCCCTTCCTGCGCCCTGGCTGCTCGCTCGGTCGTTGCTCGCTTGGCCGCCCGGCGCACGTCGCGGGCTCTCCTGCGCCTGGCGTATGTGCGACCGCACATGACATCTGGTTCATATATTTGGGATTCATACATTTTAAAAGGCAAAAAAAGATGTCTTGGGCAGTTAATTATATGTTGCCAGGTATAACAACAGTGTCAACATATTGGGCAAACTACAGCATGCATGGTTACAACTGTACAGCACAGCAGGCAGGTTCTGACTAGTGAAGCAGCATGGGGCAAGTTAACGTGAGTATGGATCATTGAAGCATAAGCATTCATCAACCAACTGGCGTAGGTTGGGGTTCTCCAAGGCCGCTGCAACTCTCTCCTTGTCGTTCAGTTGCTTGTTTACTGTCATTTCATCGACCAACTATCACATGACAAATTTAAAATGCCATAGTTGCAATTGTATTCTATGATGTTGATATTCTGCTGATGGAAAAGTCTCGTGGCAGTAGAATGTAACATGCTTTGAAAATAGTCAGCAATATATTCTTGTGTAGACAAAAAGAAAAATATGCACGGACATGCTATAATTTTACTCAAATCAATCTGGTACATTATTCAAAATAGAGTCTACAAGTTATAAGTTAGTCTGGATAGAATGACATCTCTGTTGGTAGGCTGCAACATATCATCTCTTAAAGGTGCCATTGACATTCTTTGAAATATGTCTACAAAATAATGCTTAGTTTGGCTTCCAAGAATAGGAACAAAGTGGAGCTATCATATTTTGATACATCACAAGCAGATTTATGGAAAAGAAAACAATATTATATGACAGTAATTATGTGGGCTTGCGAATAGTGACTGGGCCACATAATATTACTTCTTAGATATTAGCCTTAGAAACTTGTCAGTGTACACACCTGATTCTTCATTAGCAAGAGATCCTGGAGCAACTTTGATGTCAACCTGACAATTAGTGAAAAGGTAAAGGATTGCATATATGCTTGATGGCTGAATTAACAATAAATTAGGAATATAATCGTGCAAATGGGGTGATATGCTGAATTAGCGGTGGTATAACGCATTCCAGTAAACCAGTATCATGAAAAGTTGCAAAGTGGGGTCTGCTATATTCTTTAATAATCAATGCTCTTAAGATAAGGCTGCACCTATTTTATCCAATAAAATATAGGAGGTCAACAGAGAACGTTAGTAAAATACAAAGAGCAACTTGCAGCTCAGTTGCAGCATAGCTACCTTCGTATATTGACAATGTACTTGAGAAAAGAAACCATAGAAATGACTTATTATATATAAACTTTACTGAAGGCTGATTAGCCAATAGACTTCCATGGGATACGCAAAACCAATGTAAGGTGTCGATATTGTATTATACCAATATTGCAAATCACCGTCCTATATCAGAACAAAATAAATAGTCTTTCTTTTAACTACGCAATTGTCCAAACTTTGAAGCTCAAAAAAAGGACAGATTTAGGGCCCTGATGGTAGGTAGGTTTATAAAAACATTCCGTGAATGTTATAAATCAGTCTTTTCTTGGTTCTCTGGGTCTGGTCCACACCAAGTTCATGGAATTTTATAAATATGCATATGTTTAAAATGATTGATGAATGACATTAACAATCAGCTCAAATCCTACCAGTCCCACCGAGTACTTCCATAAGGATAGAAGCCAACCATAGATCTAAATTAGCATAGAATGTACCCTGAATATAATGCATCTCAAATGGTCGCCATAACAAGAATTCCAGAAATACATAACATAAAAGCACCTTGAAATGTGGAGGGTAGTTCTGCATCAACTTAAGTCGGAGGCACAGACCAATGACTGTGGCCAAACTGCAGTGCTGCACAGTTGGGGTGAAGGTTATCCTGCAGGAAATTGCAACATTTAAGGAGCCACAGAAAAGCGAAGCTAGATGTCTAGACGTGGTTTTCCGTGTTTTTACAGTCAGAGCCAGTTCAAGATTTTTCTTGTCTTTTTTAGTGTTTAACCCATGATGCTACCAAATAAGCAAATGCAATCTCACACCCTGAGAGTGTGCATCCCATGAATGAATATGATCAGCTGAGAGCATGGTCAGGGAAACTGGTAAAAGCATGCATATGCCCCTGGAAGTGCAAAAATGCTAAAATAAACAGGTAAAACAGACCTTCTCACATAACCACTAGCAGGCATAGGCAATCCCCACATAACCTGCTCGACTGATAGTACATTCACATTCCAATCTCAACGAGGACAAGGAACGTGAAGAAAGCATACATCTAGGTGCCTAGTCTTATTTCTCTAGTCAAGAAGCAATTCAGATCCAGCAAGCTAAGATTGTGCACGTGTTCCACAGTCCAACCAGAAACCCACAAGGATTCTGAAAATCCAGAGAAATCTAATAAAGTATATCACGAATAAGACATAACCTCCTTATGCTCAACCCCTAATCGCCACACAGGATACAATCCCTATGTGATGCCATACCCTAGTCACACCAGAGCTCATTCCCCAACAACAAATTGTTTAGGACAGTACAAGGGAAAGAGCGACATGGAGGATATGAAGACAGTATACAGCATACGTACTGGATGCGTCCGAGCTTCTCGTCAACGGAGACGGACTCCTGCGACAGCACGCTGAGCTGCTCCAGTGAGTACGGGTGCTCCGGGTCCTTGATGTCCCGCACCGTATCTGACGCACCTCACCACGAAAGCGCACCCATTCATCAGCTAAGCAAAAGCGGAAGAGAAGGAACCGAGCGAGATGGACTCGCGAGGAGAGGACTGAAACTGAAGTACTCTACCAAAGACATCGAGCGGGTCGAGCGCGTCGGCGGCGTGGGGGTGCGCGGCGCGCTCCGGCCGCTCGTGCACCACCGGGTTTGCGTTGATCATGCCCACAGTCATCTTCCTCCTCCTCCTCTTGGATCCGGCGCCGGCGGCAGTGAATTGATTTGGGAGAGCAGAGGGCAGAGCTGCGGAATGGAATGGAAGAGGAGAGGAGAGGAGAGGAGAGGAGACGACGAGTCGACAACTCGGCGAGGAAAAACACTTCTCAGTCGGGTCTCAATCATTGCTGCGCTTTTCCTGAGTGGGCTTAAAGTTCATGTTGCGGCCCATAACGCTTTTCCAAATGAGTCAACCCGTCTAGATTTTGGAGGCCCATGGACTTTAAGCCACCGGATCACAACGAAGCTCTTCCCAGGCCATGCGAAATGCTGCCATGGCAAGCCGGGGCCGGGGCGGCGCGGCCGGCAGCCATGGCAGCGCCCGCGGCCGCCACGGCCACGGCCACCGACCACTACGCGCGGCTCCTGCAGCTCTGCCAGACCGCGTTCAACCCGTCCGCAGGCCGGGCCATCCACGCGCACGCCGTCAAGGCGGGCCTCCTCGTCAGCGCCTACCTCTGCAACAACCTCCTCTCCTACTACGCCAGCGCGGGCGTGAGTCGTGGGTGCTTCCACGAGGCGCGGCGCTTGTTCAACGACATACCGTACGCGCGGCGGAACACGTTCACGTGGAACTCGCTGCTGTCGATGTACGCCAAGTCCGGCCGCCTCGCTGACGCCCGCGTCGTGTTCGCCGAAATGCCCGAGCGGGACGCTGTGTCCTGGACCGTCATGGTTGTCGGGCTCAACCGCGCCGGCCGATTCTGGGACGCTGTGAAGACGTTCCTGGACATGGTCCGTGAAGGGCTTGCGCCGTCGCAGTTCACGCTCACGAACGTTCTTTCATCGTGCGCTGCGACAGAGGCCCGCGGAGTTGGGAGGAAGGTCCACTCCTTCGTCATCAAGCTGGGGCTGAGCAGCTGCGTGCCCGTGGCTAACTCGGTGCTCAACATGTATGGCAAGTGTGGGGATGCTGAGACAGCGAGGGCTGTGTTTGAGAGGATGAAGGTGCGGAGCGAGTCAAGCTGGAATGCCATGGTGTCGCTGTACACCCACCAGGGGAGGATGGACCTTGCTGTGTCCATGTTCGAGAACATGGAAGAACGAAGCATTGTCTCTTGGAACGCCATCATAGCAGGGTATAACCAGAATGGGCTTGATGACATGGCATTGAAGTTCTTCTCACGAATGCTGAGTGCTTCTTCCATGGAGCCAGATGCATTTACGGTAACCAGTGTCCTATCAGCTTGTGCTAACCTTCGCATGCTGAAGATGGGAAAGCAGATGCACTCTTATATCTTGAGAACTGGAATGCCGTGCAGCAGTCAGATTATGAATGCTCTGATCTCAACGTATGCAAAATCTGGAAGTGTTGAGACTGCAAGGAGGATCATGGACCAGGCAGTGGTTGCTGATCTGAATGTTATCTCCTTCACGGCTCTCCTGGAAGGCTATGTCAAGCTCGGGGACACAAAGCAGGCAAGGGAAATCTTCGACGTTATGAACAATCGAGATGTCATTGCCTGGACTGCTATGATTGTTGGCTATCAGCAGAATGGTCAAAATGATGAAGCCATGGAGCTCTTCAGGTCAATGATCAAAAGTGGCCCAGAACCCAACAGCCATACTCTTGCTGCTGTTCTCAGTGCCTGTGCAAGCTTGGCATATCTTGATTATGGAAAGCAGATCCACTGCAGGGCTATCAGATCATTGCAGGAGCAATCTGTTTCTGTCAGCAATGCCATTATCACAGTGTATGCAAGGTCTGGCAGTGTGCCACTGGCCAGAAGGGTGTTTGATCAGATTTGCTGGCGCAAGGAAACGGTTACATGGACATCAATGATTGTGGCTCTCGCACAGCATGGTTTAGGAGAACAAGCTGTTGTCCTTTTTGAAGAAATGCTTCGTGTTGGTGTGAAACCAGACCGTGTAACATACATCGGTGTGTTTTCAGCTTGCACGCATGCTGGTTTTATAGACAAAGGGAAGAGGTACTACGAGCAGATGCAGAATGAGCATGGCATTGTACCAGAAATGAGCCATTACGCGTGCATGGTTGACCTGCTTGCCCGTGCCGGCCTGCTCACAGAAGCTCACGAATTCATCCAACGGATGCCTGTTGCGCCAGATACAGTAGTCTGGGGTTCACTCCTTGCAGCTTGCAGAGTGCGTAAGAATGCAGATTTAGCAGAACTCGCAGCAGAGAAGTTGCTGTCAATTGATCCTGGCAACAGTGGCGCCTACTCTGCCCTTGCCAACGTCTATTCTGCCTGTGGGAGGTGGAATGACGCAGCAAGGATCTGGAAGCTGAGGAAGGACAAAGCAGTGAAGAAGGAGACCGGTTTCAGCTGGACTCATGTACAAAGCAAGGTTCACGTCTTTGGAGCTGACGACGTCCTGCATCCACAGAGGGATGCAATCTACAAGAAGGCCTCTGAAATGTGGGAGGAGATCAAGAAGGCAGGATTTGTTCCCGACCTGAACTCTGTTCTGCATGATGTTGATGACGAGCTGAAGGAAGAGTTGCTGAGCCGCCACAGCGAGAAGCTTGCCATTGCGTTCGGTCTCATCAGCACGCCAGAAAAGACAACACTGCGGATCATGAAGAACCTGCGGGTGTGCAATGACTGCCACACGGCAGTCAAGTTCATCTCCAAAGTCGTGGATCGGGAGATCATAGTGCGAGATGCAACGAGATTTCATCATTTCAGAGATGGGTACTGCTCATGTAAAGATTATTGGTAGGAAACCTGGTCTGGGATCCTTTTCTTCTTTAAATAAAAAGGTTTATTAACTGAAGGCCGAGTGAAGATCAGCAGCAACAAGTTCAGATACAAATGGCACGTGGAAGCATTACAATCTGTGAGATCCTTTAATTCTCAAAAAACATATGTGCATAGAACATGGATTACATGTGTGCCCTGGTTCATTCATTCATTGTTTTTGTAAATGCAGTGTAACAATGATATCGTAAAACGTAAACATTGCTCATGAAGGCGCAGGGAGCGCCCTTCAAGCGTCCTTGACGCACTCCATTTTCTCTTGCATCTCCCAACTGTAGAGGCGTAGAGCCCTGACCAATAGTGCATAAACGCACAAGCATAAAAGATGATTTCAATCCCCCCCCCCCTAAAAGCAAGCATTGTTTCAAATAGATTGCCCAGCAAACAGCTTGTGGCAGAACAGCCTAATCTAATGTCTTCCATGAGTGCTTGTCTTTCATTAGACACTGAGCACTCAGGAGAGAACACTAAATTACTCGGTTCCGTCGGACACACCCCAGGGGAGAACCTAAAAATCCACATTTTTTCCATAAGGATCACAAATGAGATAATAAAGCTTACATCATTCTTAACCATTTCTTACGTCACTTTTAATTACAACATCAGAGTATAATATTTATTATCATAACAGCGGAATATAATCATATTATCAGAGTTATAAACAATTTAATTTAACAGCGGAATATAAACATGTGATCAAAATTACAGCGAAATGAATATCTAATCATGACATGAGGAAGTATTGATATTTAAACTACGACAACAGATTATGAAACTTTCATTTATAAAAGCATCTGGTGAGAGTTATGAATAACAACTACGATCGCAGCGTAAAGGAATCCTCACTGAGCCCACCAGGAGGTATCACACACAAAAAGTCAGTCCTAGCATCCACCTGTCACCTACAACAGGGGGAATAAAACCCTGAGTACTCAATTGTACTCAGCAAGACTTACCCGACAGGAGAAAAGAAAAGACTCCAAAGATATGCAAGGCTATCAGGCTTGTGGGTTTATTGTATTTGCAGGAAGCATTACTAAACGTACGTCCTTATATTCGATTTTTATTAATAGCCGTATTGGTTCATTAACTAACAATTCTATGTAAGCACCTGTGCTACTTTCAAGCATGTGGTAAGCAATCAGATTTTCTTTTTCCATTTCATCTTTCATCTTTCAGTTCTTACTACGATGCTTAGAGTTAAGACAAGTCGTACCGACTCGGCGGCGATTCGTGAACCAATGTGCCCAGCTGGGTGCCTCGAAAACACACGCCCCGCTTGTACCCCAGGCACAAGCAGGATCAACCCATCACCCTCCTGTCCTGGGTGTCCAGGTCCCCATCCAAACTGGGACTCCAAGCCCCGCTCCACGAGTCCCGGACTCAGTGCGGTGCAAGGACCTCCTCCACAAAAAAAACCCTGACAGTCGGTCCGGAAAGAGCCGGATCCACGATAAGAGAGCAACAAGTCTTCCAAGCGCCCATACCCAAATATGTGCTCAGGACAATAGATCTGTGACTTGCCTAGCGTCCATTGCAATGGCCGGTCCTTAACCGACCAGACAGGGAAAGTAGTGTAAACAAGCCATGCCCCGCGTCCACGGCGACACAACCTCTTACACCCACCAATACCCAAACCATATCCCTGTCCGGTCACTATTTTTCTTTCCACCATTTATATTTTCCAAGTGATGATAATACAGTAATATATTTCCTATCTCTCGCGAGTGACAGGCAATCACTCGACTTCTACCGGAGACCTGTAGCATAGCAATCTACACGATCCTATCATACTAGTAAGACTCATAGGATAAAGATATATTTATGCAAGTAGGTTTCATTCAACTTCTTAAAACTTAATGCACAAATATAATTAAAACTACAGAAAAGTAGGAGTTATGCATCGGGGCTTGCCTGGGTAAGATATATTAAAAAGTTAGTATCTGCATCTTTAGATCATCCACCATCAACTGAATAGAAAGCCCATTGCATCATCTCTTGGAGAGAATACCATTACACCACATTCGATTCCCAATCATCATTCAATTGATTCGTTGATCCATCATCGTACCTATATGATATGCAATGCGATGCAATGCAAGAAGTAATTAATCAACGATAGCCGAAACTCTTAGAAATCCGATCGCCTCACAAGCTAACGCGATAGCTCTAACGCTGGTCTACGTATTCATGTTGTCGAATAAGACGTTATTTCCCAACAATTATTTTAGTTATATAAACCCAAGTTATTTCTTTATTCTATTCTATCAATTTAATCTTTATTCGCAATAGGACATCATTATCTATTTAGCAAACCAATTATTCCGGAGTTACAAAAATTACAGTGAGTACCTAATATTGCTAGGAGCCTACTGTAAAAATTTCAGATCCAACCATATTACCAATTTATCATGACAATTCATACAAGTTTGTATTTTTACAATATTAAGTACCTTAAATTAATTATATAGCTTCCTAGAATATTATCAAAATATGTGAACAAAATATACTAACAGGTAGATCATGATTTTAGTAGACTAAAAAAATTAGTTTCACCATTTTTAGACACCTACACAATTTTATTTTAAATTTATAAATTTACCTTGCAAGCTAAATTAGAAACTATTCTACAAATTGAAAAGGCCGGCGTCAACGAACTGGCCCACCCGCATGGCAGCCCAGTCGGCACCAGTGGCCCAAATGGCACGCGGCCAGCGGCCCAACACGGGGACGGCGCGAGCGGCCCAACGCGCAGTCAGCGGCAAGCCGGCGCAGTGCACGGCCTGCCCCAAACCGGCCATTTCTCAAAACTAACCCACAGTCCAACATATACCATTCGTATGAGTCGCGTATTTCGTAGTAAAGACCCTGTATAAAATTTCTACTTGGATTTATACCCTTCACTTCATCTTCTTCATAGAGAGGAGCAGAGGAGGCACGGGACGGGCTACAGGATAGCTCCACGGCGGCATCGACGGCGCGCGGCAACGCGGTTGCCTGGCCATGGCGTGGTCCGAGGCGAAGGAGAGCCTAAGAGAGCGGCGTACGGCCGGGGCGGGTCATGGAGCTTGCTTGCGCGGGGGCCGACGATGGAAGCGCAGCCACGGCGGTGCTCCGACTTGGGCAGCTACGGCGCACGGGAGGTAGCGGGGCTCGGGCACGGCCATGGCGTTGCGGAAATGGGCAACGCCGAGGAGACGGAGGCCCGTCGCGGAATCCGGCACACCAGCGCGCACAACGGCCGGCGTCGAGAGCCGCCGCGGGTGCCAGCGGAAAGCAGCGAGAGCGCAGTCGCCGGTGCTACACCCGAAATGAGCAGTAGATAGCGGCGGCGTGGAGCTACGTTGGGCTATGGCGCAGGGGACGACGCAGACCCAAGGAGTGGTGAGCAGGAGCTGGGGCGCGACTCTAGCACGGGACCATGGAAACTGTGCTCGCTCACGAGGAGGAAAGGGAAGAGATGACGGCGGGCGGCTAGCACGGCACAGTGACGCCGGTGCTGCAGTACGGCGCAAAGCCACGGCGGCGCGCGAGGAGATGGTGATGGCGGGCGTGGTGCGGTCATGCCGAAAAACAGCGGGACCAGCGCGGGACGCCGGGGCTCGCGCGCGCAGGGGAACAGGAGGAGCCGCGGCGGCTCAGGCGCGCTGCGAGTGGAGAGGCAGGCCAGGCGAGCAAGGAAGAACATGCCTGCTGCAGGAAGGGAGGAGCGGCGCTGCGGCACGAATGAGCGCGGTCGGCCGGAGGCAAAGAAAAAGCAGAGCGAGAGCAGCAACTCGTCGTCCTCAAGAAGCAAGGTAGGCAGCGGCGGCGGCATCAGCATGTTCGCTTGCTCGTAAACGATCGTAAATTTCCAGCCGGGAACAGTGTTTTTCTCTCACACCAAACCAGCCAGCAGTAAATAATCCACGATACGATACGGCCTCCCGAACAGGCTGGAGTGGTCTGGTGTGCTCGGTAAGGTCACGTCGGTGAAATTGACAGAGGCAGAAGCAGGACCACGTGCTCTCCCGGAGGACATGCAAGCAAGTTGTACACAGCAGCAGCTGTGAACACAGACAGTTGGACGGAGTGCATAAAACTGTTTTAGAGAAATTGGAACTTAAATATTTTTTTTAGAATGAGATGGTACATATATTTTGCTGTGACATGGACGCGACACTCACGTACTGCACGCAGTTCTGCAGATGTGCCTGCCGGTGCTCGGTGCAGTCTAGCTGTGCATGTCATATCATGCCTGGCGGGAAACAGCGAGGCAGCGCCACCTAACTCGATCTTCCTTCGTTCCCGTCCGTCCGATCTGATTCTGATCTGCAGGGAAGCCAGGAAAGAAAAGCAAGAGGCCAGCAGGGACAAGGAGACACCACACAAGCGCGACCCCGTGCGGTATGCCACCAACCTCATAAACACGGCGTGGGGCAGGGCGGCCTGGCACAACGTGGCCGGCAGGGACAACACGACGCGACGTAATAAATTAAATGACTGATTTAGAGCAGGGGACGTATTACCATCCTCACACTCAGCGGCGGACCCAGGATTTGAAACCAGGGTAGTCTTAGTCAAAAATTTTCATGTGCAACACGACAAAATTCAAAAAAAAAGTTCAGTAAAATGACTATAAATTAACCAAATTGAGATAATACAATTGAAAGATTCAAAACTTATATAAATAGATCCGAAACTTGCACAAATAGATTATACATAAGATAAGGTCTTACATAAATAAGAGATCACAATACAAGTTCTAGTTCAAGGCTTTCTCATTGCCTTGAAAACATGAACTATGCCATCCTCACTTACAGTGAAGAATATATCACGCTCAATAAAGGTAACCAAACAATCATTCAATAACCTGTCACTCATATTATTTCTCACCTTATTCTTCACTAAACACAATGCAGAGAATACTCTTTCAACACTTGCTGTCGCCATCGGTAAGATCAATGCCAATTTAAGAACTAA